GTGCCCTCGGTCTCGGGTCTTGAAAACGGAAACAATGGCCATCCTTCTCACGCTCCATTTCTCCCTGCTTGCCAAGCAGAATTACACTGAGGAAGAAGATGCTAGACCATCAAAAGCCTTCATCTGCCCCCCCCTACCCCCCCATCCCTGATTTACATGAAGCGGCACTGCTTCTTCCCCTGACACCCCCCCCCACCACACACACACACACACACACACACACACACACACCACCATCACCACCACCAGTGTCCACTCAATCAAGCCCTCTGTCAATATTTATCACTGTCGGCTGTGCTCGCTACGTGTGAGAGCACATAAATTCAAAAGATGCACCAATCAGCCAGCTGCTGCCGAGACGAGGGCCCTATCCGCTCGTCACTCCTAGCCGGGCTGGCCCCGCCCCCGACAGCTGGCCTATTGAAGCAGGCCACACAGCCGCCTCATTTTCCCCTCCAAGTCGGTTCAATAACTAATCTCAATTCATCTGGCAGTCGCTGCTGCTGGACAATGGGCAGGAGCGTGGCTGAAGCGTAAAGCCCAGCTGATCTTGCTCTCACAGTGCCACCTGAACATCAACTGAAATGAAAAATCAATGCATCCATTTCAAACTAAAAAAAAAAAAATCATATAGTGCAACCATCATCTGCTAGAAATGGAAAGGGTGAGGGAGAGAGATATCAAAGCAATCAAAACACAACATGTTGTTGTGATTTTGGGTTCTAAAATCAGCAAAACAGCGAGATAGGTGTTAGCGGGATTTAACACCAGATAAGAGCATGAACTTTTCTTTTTTTTCCACTGAACTGAACATTATTTGTTCACCGCAATATGAAATGATGAATGTACATTTTTGACAGAGTGCAGATGAGCGGAAGGCGTGTAGAGATTGGTGGGGGATGTGTCAGATGCTGGCCTATTATAGTAGTGTGCGTTGTCTCCCACCTGTGACGTTGCCCGGGAAACCGCTCCGCGTTGCACCTGTCAGAGGTCTGCCTCCTCCGGCCCGGAGCTTGTGGTCTCTGTAGACAGAGACTGCTCAGTAATTTAGAAGGAATTTGGGAAAGGTAAAAAAAAAAAATCACAGATAAAAACTTTCCTTCATGAAGGGCTGCGTACAAAACTGTTATTTCAGCTTCTGTCTGTGTGCTCTGCTGAATGGAGTTACTGTTCAAGAAATCATCTGGATATTTTATACCAGTAATGAGTTGTGGCCAGGGCCAAGTTTGAAAGAAACTCTTTTTTCCATTTGTGCAGCTTAAATAGAGGTAATAATATCTTGTTTTTTTATTCTTTGTGTTATTTGTTTGCGTCTTCTGACATAGACTGCTTTTGCAGTGTAGCTAATTTTTAATCACATTGTACTTAATCGCATTAATAGCACTAATTCTGTTAATTGTGATATGAATTCAAACACTTTATGTTTTGTTATTCATTGCTATTGCTGATAATGGCCTTGTTGGAGGGGTTTGTCCACCATGCGCCCAGGAAAGGGGGCGGTCAGGTAGCTGTGATTATCTGTGATCGTTTAGTTGTCCTGTTGCTGTGTTTTTTTTTCCATCTCCTGCCCTCCCTGGCAAAGTCCCGACTCTGACCAAAGACATGCCGCACTTCAGTGTTTAGAGGTTTTATTTGTCATTGTCCCACAAGCCAGTGTTTGGTGTTCATTGTCATCCAGTCAAAATGGTAGCTGTATCATTTATGTTTATCTGAACATTGTCAGCCCTGTCCCTCCTTGATCCCTGCGGCTTCTGAAATAGAAAACCCTGTCCCAAATGCGATTCAATTGCATTCAGCGGCATGATCCCTGCGTCACATTGTCCAGTCATTCTATCACACAATATTTATACTGGACCCTGTATTCCATAACAACACATTATGAATATGACCCTTCCTTCTTGACAATGACAGACTTGTGTGTCAAACTTATCTCCACCTAAACCCAGTGTCAGCAACCCGGCTATTGAACCTGAGCTTTGTGTAGCTCAGTGGGTAAAGTCTCTGTCCCTGTGACCAAAAGGTTGCGGGTTTGAGCCTGACCTCAGCAGAATAATCACATCTATGGGCCTTTGAGCAAGGTCCTTGACCCCCCCCCTAGCTCCATGGGAGCCACTGCAGGTAACTGTCCTTCACAGCCAAGCTGGTTCTCACCTATGTGTGTCTTGAAGATGGGGTAGGTGCAGAGAATCTCCCCTTGAGGATTATTAATCTGTTGTTGTTATTCATCTGATATCACAATAAAAGGCTGGTTTTAATTCTATTAATCCATCTTTCCATTAGGCTAATTGTTTTAAAAACTGCACTTGCGGTTAAAATCCCTGAATAGGTTAGTATGGAAACAATTTATACTCTCTGTAAAGTGATACATAATCATAAAATACAGATAAGAAAGATGCATTTAAAAATGGTTTTTGACTTTCACAGTTTAAACAAAAACTTAATTGACTGATTCCATATGTCATTTTTTAAAGTCAATAATTCCATGAAAATGACTGCATGAGGCAAGCTGGACCTCTATTGTCTACCACGCAGGCCGGCGGCGGACGCAAACATTTTCAAAACAAGATGTACAAGAAACAGACTCAAACAGAGGAACAAAAAAAAAAGATGAAAGTGTTCTTTTCAACCCAGAGCCGTGCTGGAAATGTAAATCAGATGACTGGAGGACACGGATGGCCAAGCAAGGCCTCTGTCCCCAACGCCAGGGCCAGACGCTGCTGCCAATTATTTACAAATCCGCACTGTTAATTGAAGACCCGGGTTGCTGGCCTGGAGGAAGCAGAGCGGGCCTCGGAGTTCTGCCTGGACTGACACCAACAAAAGAGGCCCGTCTGGAGCCTTTGGGACCCAAGCCTTTGGGAGGGCAGATGGTGCCCGGAGGAGAGATCTACATTAGCATGAGAATACAGACAGAGGTTGGGGTTTCTTCAGAGGACGGTGGGCATAAGTATCACCCCCCTACACACACACACACACACACACACAATTATATAACAGGCCGTCGGCAAACCAAGTGAGACCATCTCGGAATCTGTTGCCTGCAGTAAATCAAACCACAATGAGGGACATGGTGTCAATCTGTCGACACGTGTGGCGTACACCCGATTGTTAGGAAATTCAGCGCGGAAAATGTTCCCCTCAAAGCCCCACACCGCCTTCTAAATATGCAGCCTGAGCCTCCCGAGCTACGACTGAATAGATAAACCATCCATCCATTTTCTAATTTAGCGTTAAAAGATCAACACTTACTTCGTTAGCTGCATTCTCTTGTTTTAAATGTTAAATAGCACGGTAAATTCGACATAATCTCAGGAAAGTATAGCCTATTTCATGTAACACGCAGACAAGTTTTTACTACATTGTTTTTGAAATGATGGTTTCCAATAATAGATTTATGGCTTGTAATGTCACGCAGTCATTTTGATGTTTTCTGATACGTTGCTACATCACGGTATAGACATCCAAATATTAAGGAAATTGTGATGATTAACAAATGCTAGAAATGATCATCTGAAATTGCTGTTCATATCGGTTAATCAGTGTATAGTATGCAAAACATCAATGCGCAGAGTAAGTCACGTCTGTTAAATAGATAACAGAAAAACGACCGCCCAAAATAACCATTTAGCTATATGATAACTACGAATTAAGTTCGCACCGTGTATTAAATTTGCTTCACATTCGGAACTGGATTTTTATATTTGATCCATCGATGTCAGTTTACATAAGATCGCTTTTGTAGGAAGGTTAGTTTGTTCAACCAGGATATAAGCATATCTATTTAGTCATTTTATGTACTGCATACGGTTTTCAAACGGTACCCATACGGGCATATTATGGTGTAAATCCAGTAAATTAACAGCGGGATTGGCCGAAGTATGTGCAGATTATCGAACAGCAGCCAACTGCAGCCTGACCTTTTAAAAAACACATTTCCGCAGTTTTATAACCTGTGATTAACTATGAATCACCTCCTCAGTATAAGAAGTGCAAACTCTTTTCATGCAATATCCTGAGATATCTTATTCAATGTTTGTGGTTAAACTGATTCAATTTAATGCATTGCAATTATGTCACACTTTTTTTTGTTCGTCTGCGCGAGGAAAAGATTGGCGTAATTAAACTTGTTTAATTTGGTTTGAATTTATATTAGGTTTCAGACGGACTAGATGACCGTGATCTTAAACGCTACTCTGGATCTTTTCCAATAACCTCTTTTGGGACGAAAGATTAAGACCCAACAAATGTATCTCGGTAGTATATTCGCCAACGGAGTAATGTCGCTCCCTTTAGGCTGGATTATGTAAGAACCGGCATCCACGAAGATCAGTTTCATTCCTTAATATGAATATATGCGATACGTTATGTCTTTTGATAAACTCAAAATGGCAATAATTTTCTTTTGCATATTCATAAGTAACATAAACTAGATTATTTTGTTTTATATAGTGACCTATCCGCCATAGTTTTCTCTGAAGTTTGTCGAAAGAGACTTGTTTTTTTCCCCTAACGACATTTGCTTTGGCGTTAGTTGGTGTCGGGTAATTTAAATTTAAATGGTTTCCCCAGTTAAAAGCGTCCAACAAACACAAATGTTACATTTACAATTAACATTTCAATCAACAATTTACATTTAAATAGCTTCATGGCGAAACATCTTCAGCAGTCATTTGTCCTGTCAGATTATCTAAGTGCAAGACAATTCAACAATCACACAGCAAATGTATTTTCAACACGACTTAAATTTAATTGTAATTTATTTTTTATTGGATATCGTACAAAGCAATGTCAGTGTTTAAAGTGAACTCCATAAGAAAACAATTGCATCTGAATTTTACGTACAGGTATGACAAAGGTAGTCACCAAATAAATATTTAAAATATATATTTAATAGAATCGTCAACATTATTACAACATTAAGATATTTCCCTTTATCCCAAACTCCCCCACACGTGAGACCATCATCACTTCCTCTGTATGTACCGCTGGTTGCGCATTACGTAATACGTCACGCGTAAACGCGATGACGTTTTTACCAAAAGGACGATTTGAAAGTGGCGGGCTCAGCTGGATGGTGGACGGAGAACAGGAGTATTTCCCGTGTATTTGAATAAGAGAAATCGCATGATAGGGAGTCGTTAACGTGAAAGTAATCTTAAGACATACTGGTGTTACGATCCGCGACTTTTTGAGTTTTTCCGCAGGAACGGTGAAGCTTGACTTTTTGCTGATCTTTCTTTTCGGGGGGGCCGAGCGAACTTTCCAACCGTGAAGGTAAAACTGGAAGAGCCTCTCTTTATGGCCTATCTGTATACACATAATTAAACTGCTCATGATGGACACGAAGTTGCAAAAGGAAAGGGCTGTTACTGTAACTTTGTAGATTGTGTCGAGCCGTTAGTCGAATTGCTTCCTATTGTTATGTTAATCGGTATGTGCGCGTTAAATTTCCACTCTATGTTTAACTGTGGGACGACTGACAGAATATTGTCAAGTTTAGGATAACGGAATGACTTGCAGCTAATGCACGGAGGAAGGAAGCAATTTGGGGGCATAATCGAAGCTAGCCTGCTGCCATTTTAATGCTGTACATCCACCCCCATTTTCTGTAAATGTCAAGCGTTATTGATGAAGCTGGCTTGCATGTTGTAATGCCCTTCGTGTCTGCTGTTTTTTTTTTTGGGGGGGTGGGGCACCGATGTCGGGATCTCAGCATGACACGGGAGGATGAGAAGGTAATCCCCGTGCGGGTCGGCCTGCGGTGTCGCCCCCTGGTCCCCAAGGAGCTCAGCGAAGGCTGCCAGTGCTGCCTGACTTTCGTGCCGGGGGAGCCTCAGGTGAGCGGCTGCCGGAGGCGGGGGTCGGGCTTCCCCCATCGCGGCTGGCCGTGCTCTCACACCTCCTCTTTGTGCCGATGTAGGTGATTGTCGGCAATGACAAGGCTTTCACGTATGACTACGTGTTTGACCCGATGACTGAGCAAGAGGAGGTCTTCAACACTGCCGTTTCTCCGCTGATGTCTGGGCTCTTCAAAGGTAATTATCTGGCACTTTGATCCAAATGGTTACAATTTATGTATAGGATGCTAATGCTAGTGTTTGTGGCATTAGACAGACTGATTGGCTTCTCCAAAACTGTGGCCTGCAACACTTATAGCCTGTTTGTGACTAAGAATTCATTCATGTAGAAAGCTGGGTTAAGTACTTTGCTTGAAATGCTTGTGCACCTTGCACCTGTTAAATATTTCATGTGGTCTTTTCTCCAGTTAGCAAACACAGGTTCTTATTGTCCTTCCTGTTTTCAGTGTTACTAGAACTGATAATCTCGTTTGGGGCCTGTGCTCTGGTTCTCTGCAGGTTACAACGCCACAGTGCTGGCATACGGTCAGACAGGTTCTGGCAAGACCTTTTCCATGGGTGGCACCTACACGTCTGCCCAGGAGAACGAGCCAACAGTTGGCGTCATTCCTAGAGTGATCAAGAGAATCTTCCACGAGAAGGGCAAGACGGCCGACGGCGATTTTACCCTCTCCGTGTCCTACCTCGAGGTGTGATAATTTCAAGTCCTGACAGATACTGGGCAAAACACTGATTGTTTTACATAGACGCAGATTAATTTAAGACTAAATAAAGCTGTTTGAGATTTTGCCACGTTGCGCTAAAAGGTGTTCTTGGGACTGCAGCAAGTGTTCTCATTTTAGATGTCAAGCTTAAGGAGAAATTACTGTTCTCTCACTAATTATAACCCCGTGTTTCAGATCTACAACGAGGAGATCCTGGACCTGCTCTGTTCATCTAAGGACAAACCAGCCATCAGCATCCGTGAAGATCCCAAGGAAGGCATAAAGGTAAGGTCCCCTTTCTCAGGGGTCGGTATATGGAGCTATGGATGCTGGATCTCCACGGTGCTCATCTTCTCCGTTCCTCTCCGTGCAGATCGTGGGCCTGACGGAGAAGGAGGTGTTCAGCCAGCATGAGATGGTGAGCTGCCTGGAGCTCGGTAATGCTGCCCGGACGGTGGGCTCCACCGCCATGAACGCCGCTTCCTCCCGCTCTCACGCCATCTTCACCATCACGCTGGAGCAACGCCAGGGAGGAGACAAGTGAGCTGGCGGGGGGGGAGGGGCTTTAAAAAGACCCTGCTTTGTGGTGTCGTGCTCTGATTACTCTGATTATTTGAGCTTTCTACCCCACAAGGTGTGACTTAGTTAGAAGTAAATTACTTCTGTGGCACCTGGTCAGTTCTTGTCCAAAGAGTAAGTTTGGCAGTCAAGCTCAGTGGGCTTTATTGTCATATAGTCCATATACAGGTACAGAGCAGTGTGAAATAATGTTCCTCTATGACCACAGTGCAACATGCAGAGAGGAAGTCACGTGGGGATGGTTTTCACAAGACTTATAGCGCAAAACGCAGGACAGTGCAAAACAGGGAGGCTGGACACAAGAGCTTAGTATATAAATAAATATGGCAGCACAAAGGGATGGAATAATTATAGGGGATTGAATAAATAAGATAATGTAACCAGTTCTGGGGGGGGGGGTGAGTATGTTCAGGAAGATGTACAGCAGGGTATTTAGTGTCCTGACAGTCTTGGGGCTGAATTGGGGGGGGGGGGGGCACGCCCTGCAGCTCTGTGTAGGTGTGGTTTCATGCCTTTTTTGGACACCCCGTATATTGGGTGTTTAGAGCGTCTGAAGGGGTGGCATGTGGGTTGCCTTTAAATGGAGCCCCGGAGTTGCGTTTGCCCCCCCCCCCCTCTGACACGTCCCCTGTCCCTGCCGCAGAAGCGAGGCAGTGGTGTCCAAGCTGCACCTGGTGGACCTGGCTGGCTCAGAGAGGCAGAAGAAGACCAAGGCGGAGGGGGACCGGCTGAAGGAGGGTGAGTGGTCCCACCTTGGGGGCGTGGCCATCTCTGAACTCCGCCCACCGACTGGCCGTGACTCCTCGCTGTCCCCATCTCTGTGTACAGGCATCAGCATCAACCGTGGCCTGCTGTCCCTGGGTAACGTGATCAGCGCCCTGGGAGACGAGAGTAAGAAGGGCAGCTTCGTGCCGTACAGGGACTCCAAGCTGACCCGGCTGTTGCAGGGTGAGGAGCTGGCCGTCGTTGCCCATTTATGTAGTTTAGGCTGTTTGCCGCTCTGCCTGTGATCAGAAGGTCGTTGGTTCAAGTCCCATGGCTGGCCGATTGACTTCACCATTGGGCCCCTGAACAAGGCCCTTAAGCCCCGATTTCCCCAGGGACTGTCTCTAGCCATGTAGTCATCAGGTAGCCATATTTAATACATTGTAATACTATTTACACTATTAGTTTTATGATGGGAATTGAGACTCTTAATTTGTCACCTCCTTCATTGGCTTTCATTGTGAAGTTGGACACTGGACTTTTTAATCACTTTAAATATGCTTCCTTCGGCTGTTTTACCTGCCCTAGAGCAGAGAATTAATTTAAGAACTCATCTGTAAATGGGTTTGTTCATTTTAAAAGGTTCGTTTCTGCGCTATACTCTGCATTGAAGTCAATTTTGATAATTCCTGGCTTCACATCATGCTATTGTAATAATGCAGTAAATATGTATTGCACTGTGCAGGGCTCCAGATTAAGACTTTATGAGCCGTTGGCGAGCATTTTAGTCGCCATGTGGAGCCCTGCTGTGACCACCGAGCCGTATGACATTTTCCACCCCGACTCTCGGCACACGCGTGATCCCTGCATTTTTGCGCATCAGATTCTCTGGGAGGCAACAGTCACACGCTGATGATCGCCTGCATCAGCCCCGCGGACTCCAACATCGAGGAGACCATCAACACGCTTCGCTATGCAGACCGCGCCCGCAAGATCAAGAACAAGCCCGTGGTCAATGTGGACCCGCGCGCGGCTGAAATGAAGCAGTTGCGGCAGCAGGTACGTGATTGGTCAGGAACGGTCCAAAGACAAGCACGGCGGGGGACAGTTGCTTAGAAATGGCCTGGCTCCACGTTGAGTCTACAGCTGGACAGTAATGCAATTTTACTAGTGTCAGCGTGTGGCTCCGTGGGCTAAGCCTGTGTGCCTTTAATCAGAAGGTCATCAGTTCAAACCCAGCCTCAGCACGTCTGTGGGTCCTTGAGCAAGGCCCTTAACCCCCAGCTCCCTGGGCGCCCCAACAGGTGGCTGCCCTTTGCAGTCAGCTTACTCTACAAAGAGCAGGTTGAGGGAGGTGTAAAGACAATTTCCCCACGGGGATCAATAAAAGTATCAATCAATTATTGAAAGGCTTGCGGTAAAACGTACAGGACCGTGATACTCAGTTTGAAGGCATCTGTCCCTGTCTTGCTTTGGGTTTGGGTCATTGTCACCCGACCAGCTGTCCCTTCCTTTGGGGGAGGTGCAACCAGTCTGTCCACCTACCCAATTAATGGGCAGATTAACATTATTGATCGCGGGGGAAAATTCTTTTACGCGCAGCAGCCGTTCCCACCTTCCAAGCTGCTAAAGGAAGTGGTGCGCTTAAGGCCGGCCCCCTTTTCCGGCTCGTGAGTCGTCTCCTCGTGTGATTGGTTTTTCAGGTGCAGGAGCTGCAGGTGATGCTTCTGCATGCGCGAGGGGGCGTGGCCCAGGTGCTGTCTGGGTAAGTGTGGCAGGCGGGGGCCATTCTGTCCTTGCATCTCTTGTCAGTCAGCCTGACAGAAAATTGATGTCACCTAGTGTTCATAGAGGATGTATGGGGGGGGGGTCTGTTGAAACATATTGTAAATTAAGAGTGCCTGTAAAATATCGAAAGGGGGCCCTGCTGAAGAAAAATAGCTCTCTCTGTCAGGACAACAGCTCCCCCTAATAGACATTGGTGGAGGGGGGGGGGGGACTCTGGTCTGCTTCCTTTGGGGGGGGCCCTATTTTAAGAAAGGCTGACGGTCAGCCAGACTGATTTATGGGAATAGGGGATCTTCTAGCTGTTTTATAGGATACACTTGCGTGGTCTGGCTTGTGTCTTATGACATGTGCCATTGCTATTGGCCCCCATGCTTCATGGTTCCCGTTCCTCGGTTCCCCCTCCTGTGCAGGGCGGAGCCGGCGGGGAATGTTTCGGACATCCTGGAGAAGTACCGCAGCCTCCAGGAGGAGAACGGCAAGCTGAGCCGTGAGCTGAGCGAATCCGTGAGCCAGACGGCCCTCATGTTCGAGCGCATCATCGTGGTGCGTGTCCCAGCCCTCTGACCCTGCCCCCCGGGGCCCTGTTAGCCAATCATATCACAGAACCGATATTGCCCGAATGCCGTTCATGTCACTGCAACGGGTATGTTGAGTGTGACCTCGCCTGCTTGGGCTTTCTGTTGCCATGGGGACCCTGCTTGTGAGTGTTGGACGTTGAGGATGTCGTCTAGGTGACCGGTTTCATATGTCTGTTTTTTCCCCCACAAGCTGCTTCACTGCGCCTCACGGCTGTGCACCGTGCGTGTGATTGTGATCCTGTCGTTTTAGTTTAACGGCACACAGGACGCGTCCCTGGAGCGCAGCTCCGGAAACCCCAGTGTCTGTAAGCCTCATAATGGCCCCTGACCTGATCGTTCTGGTCCTGCTGTTCTCACCATGTGACTCGTGTTTCCAGACGGAGCAGGCCAACGAAAAGCTGCTGGTCAAGCTGGAGGGCCTGAAGCAGCATGCCGCGTGAGTCTGGATGTCGTCTAATGCTGTGATCCACCACACCCCCCCCTTTGAAAATAATGGTTCCTTCCGTCTTGTTCACTTTGATTATGGCTATGTTAAGACTTACACAGTGATTGCATATCATTGTGTAATTCATCCTGTGGCTGATAATGTATATACTAATATGTACTAATTTACATATGCATATGCTAATATGTAAATGCTACATCAACACTAACAAGCAAAGGTTTAGTTTTTACACCTGTCAGTTTAACGAAAATGTTAAGCCAAGCATAGATAACCAAGCTGGGTGTCTGAGTCGGGGGTCACGCTGACAAAAATGGGAATGTGGGTGCAGATCCAGAGCTACAGTGACCCTGAGTGTGGGGGCTGGTGATTTAGACGCTCACATCCCCATATTAATGTCCGATGGCATCGTGGTCAGCTAACCAACCCGCACAATCCATCAGCAGCGACGTGCCGGTTTCGAAAATATTAACACTCGTCTAGTGTTAAGACGAAGTCGTCAGTGTCCAGCTGTCTGTGATCAGACAGTTAATAAAATTATAGTGTCTGATTTCCTCCGATTCTGGAGAAAATTGAAAAGTATCATGCCTGTCAAGAACGTAGATGTCAGGGCATTGAAACGAGCTGAATCCTGGGAGGTCGGGTGAGATTTCACTGCCGAATGAACTGCGTGCAGCTGCAGGCTGGATCTGCAGAGCCTGGTGGAGACCTTGGAGGACCAGCAGCTGAAGGAGAACATGGAGGTGATCCGTAACCTGCAGCAGGTCATCATGCAGCTTGAGGTACGTCGGGCGCCTCCCCGGCCCATCTGCCCCCCCCCGGTGCGTGGTTCAGGCCGGGTCATTCCTGAGCCTGCCTCATACAGTGAGTCAGGTTCTCCTGTCTGTTTCAGGATGAAAGTGTCGGAATAGCAGCCTCGATTGAAGCCATGGCCTCCCAAGAAGACGACCACGAAAATAGCCCAGCTGGAGATGCGGCGGTGGGGAGTCTTGTGGAAGAGTCCTCCATGGTGGGGTGTATTCCTGTATTCCTGTATTCCTCTCCTGTTTGCGTTCTCCTCATTCTGTCCCTAATCCTCCCCTTTGTTCTCATGCACTTTAGCCAGCCTTGAATTTCAGTTCGGGTTCTTCTCATCCTGTTATTTTGATTGCTTTTCACGCCGTGTGTTCAGCTCAGTCTGTCTCTCTCTCTCTCACCCTAAGCAGCTGCCGTCTGGCGCGGCTGTGGATAAATCTTCAGCCGAAGCATTCACCACCCAGCACGCTCTGCGCCAGGCTCAGATGTCCAAGGAGCTCATCGAGCTCAACAAAGTTCTGGCCCTGAAGGAGGCCTTCGTCAAGAAGATGTGTCAGAACGACAGCCACCTGGAGCCCATGCAGTCGGAGCATCAGGTGGGAGCCGGCTGTGTGGCTCAGAGGGGTGAAACGCCGTGCTTGTGATCGGAAGGTTGTTGGTTCAAATCCTCGTTTCGGCCTTTCTCCCGACAGGAGAACATGAAGAGCCTGCAGGCATCTGTCGAGTCCTTGCAGAAGGAGAAAGAGGACCTCATCTTGGCTCTCCACTCTGCAAAGAAGGACACCAACCAAGCCAAGTAAGGGGCCCCCACTCTATAACCATTGGCCGTCCTTTCATCACTCCTGTCCTCCCCTGCACGGATTTTACAATGGCTTCATTTTGTCTCACTGATAAGGAAGATGTGGGTCAATGAGGCTTATCACTAAAGAGCCATTTTAGCCCTGGAGCTTGCTTTATTGCCTCTAAATGAGTTGGGCTGTTTGGATTATACACTTCCACATGTATGAGGTGGGTGATGCATTGTGGCAGGTAAACTCTTCTAGCTCTGTGTTAAAGACGGATATTATTTACCTGGCATTTCCCAGCCCAGTCCCTCCCTGTTCCTATCCAATGAAGGACTACAAATACCTGTACAGATGTGTTAGGAGCTGGAAGGGAACAAAAATGTGGACTGTCTGGAGGTCCCTGAGGACTGGATCCAAACATTGGGGGGTATGGTGTATCACAGGCAGAAGGGCATCTCAGCCACCTGCTTTCACTGTGCCCCCCCCCCCCCCCAGGCTCAGCGAGCAGCGCCGGAAGAGGCTCCAGGAGCTGGAGGGGCAGATCTCTGAACTGAAGAAGAAGCTGATGGAGCAAGCCAAGCTGCTGAAGCTGAAGGAATCGTCAGTACGCAATGTGGCCAAGCTCAACCAGGAGATCCAGGTGGGCCGACCTAGGAGTGTGGCCCTCAATCTGCGGCCTTATGAACTGGATCTGTATGGAAGGTTCCCCCTATGCCACCAACCAGTCAGCGCTTGCGTTTATGTTGTGTGTGTGTGTGTGTGTGTGTGTGGCTGTTTTTTCCCCCTCTTTCTCCATAAAATCACCTTAAGTAATGCGTCCCCTTCCCCAGCAGTCCTACACATGCACTTGTTTACACTTTGTCTTCTGCACCTGTTCTCTGTCCGGGGGGTTGCAGGCCATGAAGTCGCAGCGCGTGCAGCTGATGCGGCAGATGAAAGAGGACTCGGAGAAATTCCGTCAGTGGAAACACAAGAAGGACAAGGAGGTGCTGCAGCTCAAGGAGAAGGTAGCGCCCCCTACTGTCTGTTGAGCCGGTCTAAGGCTAAGCTTAGCTAACACCGAATAAAATGTCTGCTCGGCTGTTGTTGGCTACACTCGGGTTTGAAAGCCCTTTGTCCACAGGACCGCAAGCGGCAGTATGAGATGCTGAAGTTGGAGAGAGACTTCCAGAAGCAGGCCAACGTCCTGAGGCGAAAAACGGAAGAGGTGAGCTGCTGTCATGCCTGTTTGACCCAGAAGGTTTCCTTAACAGTCATGCGGCACTGGAGTTGACCTGTGTGTGAGATCCACGTGTGTGGTTGGGTCTGAATGCAGGAATCCGGTGGTGTAGCAGAGTTCTGCGGCTTTCAGGTTTTCAGTTTCTGGTTTTGCCATTTTGTTTTCCCCGCTTAAGCAAGTGAGGTATTTCAGTGAAAGCATTTAGGCCAGGAAACTTCAAAAAGTACTACATTGGGTCATTCCGGAGATGTGGCACCAGCAGGTTGTTGGTTCTCAGCCCAGTGCGCACGGAGGAGGAATGCCACGCTGACGCGTTTCCCCCACAGGCTGCGGCCGCAAACAAGCGCCTGAAGGACGCCCTTCTGAAGAGGAGCGAGGCGGCGGAGAAGCGCAAGGATACACAGAACCGTGGGATGGAGGGCGCGGCCGGGAGGGTGAAGGTACCTGACACCCCACCGTCGTGACATCAGGCCATGCGTGTGACCTTGGGGACCCCTCTGACCCCTCACTTGTGGCCCACAGAGCTGGCTGACAAACGAGGTAGAGCTGCTCGTGAGCACAGAGGAGGCGCGCCGGCACCTCCACGACCTGCTGGAGGACCGCAAGATCCTGGCCGAGGAGATCTCACAGCTCAAGCAGAAGCTGGAGGCGGGGGAGCGTCCGACCGCCAAGGTCCGGGTAAGAGCTTCCAGAGACGGTGTGAGATTTCACCGACCAGCCATTATTGCGTGTTTTACCGGCCTGTCCCTCGTGCGCATTAATTACATAATAATTGACCAGAGGGGGCTTTTATTTCGGCGTGGCGTCTGATCCGCTTACGGCTGTCCTCCCAGCGCCGGACCTTCACCATCGCCGAGCTGGAGAGCCAGGGTGAGCTGGAAGCTTCTCTGGGGAAGCAGGTGGAGAACCTGGAGACGGAGATGGGCCTCAGGTGAGTCCGGCGCCCCAAACCCCTTGCCGGATACCCCCACCGCCCGCAAGTTTGTCAAAGCATCCCCACCCCCCCTTTCAGGAGCGCCCAGATCGCAGACCTGCAGCAGAAGGTCCTGGATGCCGACAATGAGGGCAGAGTGAAGCAGCGCTGGGACAGCATCACCAGCCTGCCTGAGGCAAAGTGCGCCCTCAAGTTCCTCATGTCCGAGGTCAGCCTGCTGGGGGGGCATTTCAATGATCTACGGTGGATGCAGTCAATTAAAGAAAATGGCACCTAAAATACTGCCTTCCAGTTTAGGATTTATAACAATGTCATCGTTTAACAAAGGGTTTATGACAATGTCATGGTTTAACAAAGGGTTTATAACAAAGTAGAAGGGTTTGGCCTTCAGTAGGGTTACGCTCAGATGAACCCATCTTAAGTAGAAAATATCGTATGTCGAATATGAATACGTGATTTAAATAATAAATTAGATCTGTCATGGTTACTCGATTAAAATCGATTACTCGAGTATTAAAAAGCATCGATAAAAAATTTCCCTCTCGATTACCTGGCAATATGGCGGAAGGAGAACGGCGCATTGAGGATGAGGTCTAAATAAAGAGCGAAAGCATCTGTTCTGTGGAAGCACTTCGCCAAAAAAGTCAATGAAAATGTAATCGTCTTAGTATTGCAAAGCAGAACTTTAATATCATCACAGCACAACTGCAGTGCAAATACATCTTAAAAGAAGGCATTCAGGTTTGATGGACTCACCCAGTAATGCGAGGTTAGACACACATGTTTAGCTTCCCTGAGTAGCCTAGCCAGTCTTTGTCATCACTTTGACTTAAATTAAGAAAAATAATTTATATGATTCCTGTATGTGAAAATTAGAGTTGATTTTTTTTTTTGTGAAAGTATTGTGTTAGGGCTGAACAATACTGGAAGAGGTTCACATTGTGATATTTAGGCCTAAAAGTTGAAAATGAACTATATAGACAAGTAGAACTTATTTGTCTTGTTTACTTATTCATGTTATCTAGCAGCAGAGTCTGTCATATAGGTTGCTGGTGCCAGCAGACACACAGCAGTGCCGACAAATTACTTTCTTCAGCTCAATATCATCTCTATGGAATACAAAATATTCCCATGCAGCAGAATACAAATGCGTTTTCGTGACCAGTTCTGTTCGCTTTTCTCCTCTTCACTTATTTTTAATTTCACACTAACGTGCCGCAAGATCTGAGTGAGTACAGCAGTAGGGAGGAGAATGATTATGGACCTCAGACTTTTTAACTTTTTTTTAACATGTATTACATAACGTTGAAAAGGAACCATCATTTAAATTTCAACGCTTGCCAAGTTTGGTTTTCTATAACTTCATAGATTGAACTTGGCAAGCTATTAGCGGTCCTTGTGATGTGAAAATTGCATATAAATGATGTATGTACTCACAATTACTACAGACACTGGAAACGTGGCTGCTCCCATCGCCCGGCAACTGTAGAAAGTATCGTACTCCATGTCGCTACCCTGGGCGATATTTCACTACTAAATGTGTGTAGGTATTGCACTGTCATGGATAGTCGAAATATTGATGGTCGAACCATCGCAAAGTGAGGACCATCTGTACTCATGAGGTTAAACTTCCTAAAGGACGGTTTTAAAAATGCCTGGACTATTTACTGTAATGTTGTCTCAGCTTGTGTGTGTCTGGGGTCTAGAAGAAAGTGTTTTGATTTTCTTTTTTCCTGGAGCAGCTTGTGTCCGCCAAGGTGGGCGACGCCAAACTGGCGAGTGACCTGAAGCAGGAGAAGGCCAGCTACTCGGACCTGCAGCGGACGCTGGCCGACGAGCGCAAGCTGATGTCCGCCATGGACATGGAGCACCAGGCGCGGCTAGTGGAGCTGGAACAGCGCCACCAGGAGAAGGTGCGGCACCCGGGGTGCAGCCGGGCGGATCTCCGATGCACGAGGGCTTCAGGCCCCGATATTCCCCGTGTCTCCTAAACTGCCTCGGGACTGAGATAATCTACAACCTCTGGCCTGTCCCACTGAGCCGCAGAACGCCGGTTGTTGGGGAGAGGGATCGTCGATTACCAAAAATAAACTATATATTTACAAGCCACGCCCCTTTCACGCCCACTTGCAGAAACTGGAGAGCGCAATAGTAAGGATATGTTTGCAAACAAGTTATAATGTTGACATTTTCCCGTTAATCGTGTGTAAATCCCCCAGCTTGAGAGGCCCTTCAACCCTCAGTTAACTGGGTTTAGGATACAGGAATGGATCTACAGGGTAACAGTGGTGCTTTGAAGGGCGATCAGAATGCCTGCCTCGTTCCTGCAGGTCCTGTATCTCCTCAGCCAGTTACAGAATAAACCCATGGTGCCTGAGGCAGCGGAGGAGGCGCAGGAGGAGATGTCAAAACGAGAGCGCGAGCTCCTCCAGCGTCTGAAGTTCCAGGTGAGTCGACTCCCGGGACCGTCTGGAGATCGGCTTTAATGGCGCCTCGTTAACCCAACCCTGGGGGACATCTTTGTCGGCAGGAAGACGAGATCGAGAAGATGAGGGAGCTCAGCGAGCAGAATCAGAAGCTGATGGAGGAGAATGAGCAGTACAAGCAGGTTTGGGCAGAATAAGAGGTTGTGCATCACAAGGTTATAATGGGTTTAAGTCCTGAATATTGGACTAGCTTCTAGTTAGTGGTTATGGATCTATTTTCAAAGGCTGTTAGGTTAAGTCCCAGGATACAGATTTTGCTCTAATACCCCTAATCCAACCCACTCAGCTAACCTAAATTATTAGTGATAAAAATCACTGTTTAATTGGGCTCAAATGTTAAAAGTAGCAGAATAAGGTGTTTTAGTGTTGATAACATATGTCCTCACCATCCCCCCCCCCCCCCCCGCCTCGATCTTTGCTTTGCAGAAAATGGTGCTTTTGCAGGTGGCCAGTGGGAAGAAGATGAACAGCCTGCTCACAGCAGCCCCGTCTCCAGACTCGTCCTTCGAGTACGTGCCCCCCAAGGTAAGGCCGCCGGGCAGCGCGCCGATGGACCTCTGTGACCTCGCCATGCCCGACCTGATCTCCCCTTCCCCGTGCCCCTGCAGCCCAAAGGTCGTCGGTTCACGACCGCCAAAGCCCCTAGCCTCGCCTCCACCATCTACGTCGAAGAGCTGGTGTCTCCGTCTGACTCCGAACAGGACGAGGACGAATGGGTCCCGGAGAACACCGACAGGGCTCGGAGGAATTCTCGAAAGAAGTCTAAAGTGATTGGAGTAAGGGTTGCCGGATCCGTCGCAGAAACCTGGCCCGGTCACCCAATCTTGCTGTGGGCATGTTTCAGTGAAAGATTGGCGAGTTTCTGGCTCATTTTTGTGAATCTCCTCTCGTTCACTTCCACAGTGTGCCTGCAAGGGGCGCTGTGGCAACAAGCTGTGCCGCTGCCGCAAAGGGAAGATGGCCTGCGGCGAGAACTGCCAGTGTGACCACGATAAGTGCCGCAACATGGAAATGGCATCTCCCATCGTGGTGAGTGCGAACGCCAGCCGGTCTACACACACACGACACTGACACATGTTCCATACTGGAACCAAATCACTTTGAGACGTTACTGGAGTAGAGTGGAAGATACTGAGCAATTTAATACTGAAGCTCCTGGTTTGCTTGTGGGAGTTTTACTCGCTCCAAAATGTTCTGAGGACAGAAGGAAAAATGATTGGTTCAGAGATAACTAATGACATTGTAGAGGAGGCGGGCCCAAGCAACTAGAGGAAGTGGGACCAATCTGATGTCTTGCTTAGACCGGCCTCCTCTGCAATCTGGTTATCTCTCTGAAACAAACATTTTTGTGTAAGTAAAACTCCCGCAAGCTCTGGGTTTTTGATTCCTTTTCTCCACTACAATCCAGGAATCGAGTGAGATGGAAGACGGATCAAAAGACTCCATTCTCACCCCTCAAGACCCCACTGCTGTGAGCCCTGGAGACTCAACCTTCTTCAAGCCCCCCTGTGTCACCCCCACCATGAAGGTATCGGCCGTCACCTGTTTGTGTAGGGTCCCGCAGATAGGGGGCGCTCATGAACGCAGTTGAACATAGACTCACTTTTACAGAGTACTCAACTGGTAGACAAACCGCATTTTTACTTTCTGGACCGGAACTTTCCGGCTCCTTTCTGGAAAGGTGGTGGTTCATGCAGGAAGTTCACGCACAGTCCCACCTCTCCCCTTCCCCACCACAGGTGCTGAAGGAGATCGGGGACATGAGCCAGGTCTCCGTGGACCTCAAGCTGGAGAGGAAGCCAGCCGTGCTGGACGAGGATGACGAGGAGCGCTGCACCACCAGCCTGCTGAAGAAGAAGAAGCGTGCCCTCACCAGCAGCCAGAACAGCTTCTTCTCGGGGTGCACGCCGATCCGGGAGGAGGCCTGAGGGCAGCCGCCATGAACATTCCATCCTCCTCATCTTTACGTGTTGGCCCAATGTCTTTATTTGTGTTTTAATGTCTGTGACGTCAGAATAAACTAATGGCAATAGATGTTTTCCTCTCGTTTTTGAAGATAAGTGGAGCCTGCAGTTGCACTAACCAGTATGTGATATCGTGAATAATTTTTACGTGGTTTAGTCATTATGGAATCCAGTCAAATGTGTGTTGTCTAACAAAATAGTACCTTTTTTCCACTTGAAATGTACATAGACCATGTTGTGTAAATACTATTCTTAATGAATCACAGTAAAACTTTCTCCTAGACATGTGTACATGCATGTTCACATTTTGAAATTAATAAAAGATCTTTTTTATTCTTGCTCGTACAATTTATAATGATCTTGGGCAGTTAATTTCTTTCTGGTCTTCCAGAATGGTTCTGTAGTCCTTGGCAGTGACACAGCCACTGAGAACACGTCCTGGGCCCGAGGAAAGCCATGATACTGCAGCCCAAACCATCACTGACCCACCACCGTGCTGCACTCTGGGTACACAGCAGTCTGGGGGTTAAAGCCTCTTTGGAGCTTCTCCACACCGTAACTCTCCTAGATGTGGGACAGACAGTGAAGATGGACTCATCAGAGAACAATACGTGTCACATTGTCTAAAGCCTAAAATGTGCTGTATTGGCACCATAGAAACTGATGTTTGGCATTAGCACGAGTGACCAAAGGTTTGGCTATAGTAGCCTGAACGTGAATATTGACCCTGTGGAGCTCCTGATGAGCATTATGTCGTGTGGATTGCAATATTTTATGTACAGCTGTGCTATTGCTCTGCTAATTCAGCCTTCACACTATGCTCTCACTGAGGAATGTGCGATCAGTGAAGACTGGCCATCAGGCCGCACATATATAACCATGGATCCTCAAACACTATTTTGGCCAGTGTTACGGTTCCATTGTCTAACCCCTGTGCATATGTGTGTGTATGTTTACATATATAATTCTTTTCTTTTTGCTTAGACCAATGTTTCTCAGCCAGGTGCTCGGGGACTCCGAGGTAACCCCTACCACAGTTCACTGGGAGCAAAAATATGGCCCGTCTGCCAGACCCGAGAGGCAGTTTGAGAAACACTGGCTGTACACACATACCGGACCTATATGCTCCTAAACTGTACTTAATGTGGCTTGAAATCCTCATTAGCAAAATGTCATTCCGTATCCGCATAAAACTCTGGCTTTCAGTTCATAATCACCGCAACAACAGACCCAGATGGACGATTTCTGAATCCACTTGCGGGTAAACTTAGCTGCTCGGAATAAATGAATACGAAGTAGCTTTTCAGCCACTCATAAGATTTGTTCGGTTGAAATGGTAGGAATATAGCTAGGGGCTACCTGTGCCCAGATTCTCAATGAAACAACCGATTGTGGGATGATTTGCATAATGAACAAAAGTTACAGGCGTGAAACAAAGCGGTCTGAAGCATTTATTACAAGATTATACTCCAGTTGACAACTTTGTCCGAAGGGAAACGCTCAAAATTTGTTTTCATTATAGTAATAGGCAAACTTATTTTTCACAAATCCTTCTGTACATAGCCCATGCGAAGCAATAGGCTAATTAGATTTTTAACATTTTCTTTGTTATGCTGAGGACTATTTTCAGGTTATCTATCGTGTGTTTGTGTGTGTGTGTGTGTGTGTATGTGTCAGCTTGTGATTCAGCGCAAACTAGGGGCCAAGAAAAAGAACTTCAAGGCGATTATTTTTTTGGCAAAAACTTTAGTGGTTAATTAAGAAAAATTGAAAATGCATCGTTGCCATTTTTAATATGACTAGCATTTGAGTTAATGGAGCATTTACACATCGGAGTAGATATATCCTCTGCTTCCAGGAAGCAATTACTCGGACCACTTTCCCCATAATCCCTATGGTCTGGGCCCCCTGCCCCCAGTCCAAACTGCAGTTCGATCTGGCAGGTAGACATATCTTCAAATGAGGTGTCTCTCTGCCTCCCCCTTCTAATTCCAAGCTCCTGTCTCCTTTCATTCCGTGTGCGTTATTTTCCTTACAAATGCATTTTAATCGGACTCCTGCTACAATTGAAAACCCCTTTGTGTAGACTGTTTTGTGCTTGCGTGCTGACAGTGCTCAATCGTTTTAAGTAATCTGTCACGATGTTATTTCGTAATTTTCTTAACCGTAATTTCACGACATATTACTGAGCAGGTGCCAGATATAAGGGGAAGAAGGGTTTTCTATGGGCCTATATATAATCTAACAATGTCCCGTTGAGATGCGAATCTTGGGAGTTCCAACTCTCTAGTTCTTCATTAAAATTCAAATTAAATTCTCGCAAGATGTATGGCCGCCTGGGCTTTACAGGAGACTATTCCTGCTTAAAGCGTATGCTGCGAGGCGACGCACAGAGGTCACGCCGCTTTTAAAGCCGGGCTGCGACACGTGATTTGAGCCCGTGCACGGTGCCGCGCGCTTCCGCTTCTTCACGCACAGCCGTAGCGACCCACGTCCCCAAACTCCGCGTTTCTCTACAAGGTTTCGGCGGACCGCTGCTGTTTTATCTGATTTTTTCCCCCATAGGACTTTCTTCCTACGTTGCGGGGGAAGCGGCCTCGAAAACGTTGTTACTGAAATACGAAACGGTATCTTTATCCAGCGCCCACCCACGTATTTACTATTATAGGTGTGTTTTGCTCAGTCATACTTGAAACGGGCTGCCGCCCCCCCAGTCGGACGGTCGCTTATAGCTGACCTGAAGGAGCGTGTTTAAATACGGAGTGTCGACCCCCCCTGTAACACGGTAAGGAGATGAGCGCTTGCTATGGTACAGCATAATCCCCTGACCCAGTATGCACATTCTGACATAACTGTACCACCTTTTTAAAACTCCATTTAAATGTTAAATGGCATATCGTGCCAGCTTTGCTTTTTATAATTTCCTGTCCCTGTGATGTGCTGACGGGGTAATTCCTATAAACAGTTACGCGCTGCAGTTTTAGCTAATGCTTGATTTGCGTTGCTTTATGCATTTGTTTATTTTTTAATAACTTGTAAATCATTCTGCACAAACTTCGTAGGAAACGGAATTAAGCACCGTAACTGTTACAAGAAATACTCCGATCTTCTATGTAATAATAATAATAATAATAATAATGAATAGCTTAATGATAATCATCATAGTGATTGTGCAAAAACCCCTCCGTATATTTACAAATGGAAAGATTGTCATCCCACGAAAATAAATATGAAATGCCAATCCTTTAAAACATGCCTCTTAATCTCGGAACGTTTCACCTGCTTTACATTTAATGTTTAACGAATAGCATCAAACGTGTTGTCAGTTTTCGCACAATACAATAAACGTTCAGATGCATGGATAATGCATTTTGACAGGCAATCGGGGCATTTCCTGTTTCCTCCCACCGCTGACAGCATGCGGAGCTTTGGGGCTTTGAGGGCGGGGGCATTTTATGGGGCAGCCAGGCAACGTCAGCTAAGTTAATGGCCAAGGGGATTTTCTGTCTTACAGTCGCTGCTGGTTTTCCAAACGATGCCTTTGTGAAACGACATCTGCAGAATGCTGGCAAATGCAGCCTGTAATTTCCATTTTACTTTCCCATACGAGTTACTTTCATCCTTATTTGTATATAAATATCACACGACATCATGTAATTAGCAAATTGTATTATACAAAGTAACTTTTGTCCACTTTCACAGGTGAATGTTAACTTGAAGCGATATACGTGTTTTCTTTTGACCTACTCTCGCTGGATGGGAACTGGCATTTTGTAATTTCAGTTACTTTAACAAGAGGTAGATAAATTACAAAAAAACAGGATTCCATTGAAATATATATATATTTTTTTGCGTTTGTAATATAAGTCTACCACTCTACCCTCCAGGGTTCCACTAATACCACAGTGACTTAACATATAAACAATGCATGTAGTAATATTTATAGTTATTAATTTCATATTTATATTTATTGTTACTCCAAAGCAGCAGAGTTATAAAGAAATCACAGCTTTAACATGTAATATAGTCAGGTGCTGAGAATAAAGTTTGTACCTTTTAATGAAGAGGTAGCTTAGGCTGTAGTTTGAAACTCAGTCCATACTGAATTCACCCACAACATGATTTATGCAACTGCCACGATTTTCTTTTAAATTACAATGTGTCTGATAATCTGATAAACCTTCTGGATGGATGCAATGTAAAAACACAACTACTCATTATAAACCAGGAGTTGTTCTGGGCGTCTGCTGAAAACACTGAATATCTCTATGAACTCTAAACAGGAGAATATAGTGTCAAATGAATGTGTCAATGAAATCACCTGCACTCACTTGACACCCAAATAGGATGAGAATTCAGAGATGGCCAGTATAGGAAAGGTATAGCCAGTTATAACCAGTATGGAGCCAAATGTTTAGCCCATGTTGTAATGTTTATAGACTAACTGATAGACTCTAGCTGTGAATTGTGACTGATTCAACCACTCATTTACGTTCATTAATCTGTAACAGGTCAGCATTCTAGCTGATAGTTTGTTAATGAACTAACATAACTTGTTGGCTAGTCTGGCATCATCACCAGTGACCTGATATAGTGGTGAAATTTGTGTTTTTCACGACACAAAGGCTCTTTGCAAGAGAATATGTCATACCATGGAAACTTTATCCCAGAAAAGTTGTGCTATTTTTAAATTTCATTTGAGAGAACTAACGACTGCCTTATGTGACAAACACCCCCTGAGAAGATTTGGTGATGTGGACAGGGTGGATGTGGGAATTTCAGCCCCGTCTCCCTTCGGGGGGGTCTGAATGTTTTCAGTTCCCACAAAACTGCTTGCATGGGATGATGGCGTGCTGATTAGCATAGCTTCACGCTAGCACTCATCTGTCCCTGCACCAAGCTTAATGCATGTGAACTGGACATATTTTGGGTTACTCTCTCTGTCCCTGCGGTGTCAAGAGTCATAAATCCGTGTCTCTCATGGGTCGATGACTTATAGCGAAATTATCTGCATATAGAAATTCAGGGCTGCTAAATGTGCATGGTAGAATGCCACTATATTTCTGTTTGTGAGGTGGATTGTTTTGCCCAGTAATTAGGATTCGTAACAGGCGCACGATCAGAGGCGCATGTCATATAAAACATACACGCGTATCACCTGATAAGCGTGAAATTAGCATTATTTTAGATATCATCACGAACCATGTTGTCAGACGTGTTTGAAATGGTCAGTTCTGAATTATGCATGCTTGTTGTTGGACGGAAAGCAGAGACGGACCTATCATTCGAACTTTTCAATTATTAACGGGTCTTGTTGCATTCATTGTGATGCTTATTTGGCCACATTAATCTCACAGTGCTTGTTGATCATAGGGAAGAACGACATGATGATGTAAGAATTATAACCCATTAATTTATTCACTCTTTCCTGGGCTTCAGACTGTATTTTTGTCAAATCTTTGGCCACCTTACCTTCCTTAGTTCTGTGTTAATTTGTTTCAATAATATGACGCCAAGTCACATAGCATCACAATACAATATCTACCTTTGCTAGTCAAATATTTCACTATCGCAAACTTTGGTACCTTCTTCACTGATTTGAATCTTTTTGTTCTTCGCCCTGAAGGTGCGCTTTCCCGGAACTCTGCAAAAAAGTAAAAACCAAAAAAAGGGAAAATCTGGTAGCGATAAAATATTTGTCATTCAACATTAGCATCAGCTTTTTAGGGGTTCTTCATTCGGTGGGTGGAGAAGTGCCTGTTTTTTGGCTTCTTAACGCTGTTCCACTTATTGCCATGTGGTGATTTCATTGAATTTCGAGGCCTTTGTACCCTCGGCCATAAATCTTGTCTGACGGGCTGTCCACGGAAAAACACAAGCCCTCTTGCAGTTGATGATTCTGGGAGTGACTCGAGTGGAAGTCCTTGCACGACAAAGGGAGTGGGATTGGTGAGCACAGCCTTGGGGTGTGTCAGCCGAGATCACGCTGACGAGCCCTTTGTAGTCCTCCCTTAATGTCAGAGTGCATCACACAACGTAGGGTTCTCCTTCAGTTTGCGTAGACCTGACCCGGGGTGTGCTCTGGTCTCGCCGTCTTCAGAAAAAATGTCTCCGAAATGAGGAGGTTCTTGCAGAACAATGCCAGGGCCTGCCGCTGTATTGTTACGGCGACGATGAAGTGAAACCCGATTGGGTGTGCTCACTGTGCTGTCGTCCGCATGCCCTCAGTCCTCGTCTTCTGCAGCCCTGACAAGCTGGTCATTAGCGCTAGTTTCCCTTTAGCGATGCCAGGTGCACCTGCATTCCGGATCCCAGTGATTAATCGGGGACGCGACCTAACAAGTGGGTCCATGTGTCGGTTCGCTGACCCTGAGCCATTGGCTCATCCTGGTGACTCTAGCGGCTGGACTGTGTGCCCAGAGTATCTAGGTCCTTCTCATCTGTTGAGTCTTTGTCATCATGCATTTAAAATGATGTATGGTTCAGTGGGTTAGGACTATGTGCCTGTGAGCGGAAGGTCATCGGTTCAAATCCATGGATAAGCAGAGTGATTGCACTGCTGGGCCCATGAGCAAGGCAGGGATTAGTGGACCTGTTTTTCTTTCCAGAATTGCTTTAAATAAAAACAGCTGCTCAATAAATTTCATTATAAAATGTTTTAATTAAACCTAATCAGAATAATATGTCAGTTAATTGGTTCATTTGATTTGCTTTCTCATAGTCACACGACTGATACCTCTATTGAGCAGTAACTGGGTATTCCTCCCAGGCTAATTCAGGTTAAGCACATGCTTAATGCTATGGTAGCATGGACTTGAACAAACAACCTTATGGGTTCAAGGGTCTTGTTCTTCTGCATCTAGCGTGTACTGCTCGGCCAGCCTCAGCGGCGACGACAGCAGATCATTGCAGACTCGTCTTTGCTGTACAGACTGTGGTTTTAGCAGGCCACGCCATTGTCATTTGACAACACAGATATTTCCTTGTCTGCATTTTACGTCTCACGACACCCAGAATGCCTGGGGTAGCTCCTTGCTACATTGTTGCACACTAAGGGAGATGACTTCCTGCCTGAGCGGTGCACAAAGTGAAGCCACTGGGCGTGAAGTTCGCTGATCAGTCACGGGAGGCACTGGTTGGCGGGTGAAAGGCTGAATTCAAATAGTGTCAGCAAGGTGAGTCGACCAAACGTTTTGGTCTCGTTCTGCACAATATAGATTGACCAATTGTGCAACTTTACCTGACGTGTCACATTGCTAGATATTTTTTGATGATGTTGACCCAGACATGGCTTAGAGGCAAAACTGAGAAAATGTTGGGAAGCAGGAGGCTTCGTGACTCGAGCGAAAGAGAGTCCTGCAGCTGTTTTGCATCACATTTATTGGACGTCATTCATCAGACTTTTCTGGAGAATTCTGCCCTGACATTAAGTGTGAGAGGGAGAACGAGACTGGGGTCTTAAAATACCCCTATTCATAACCAGACAATACGTGTGTCATGCAGGCAAAATGTAGTCCTCCGTATAATTTAAGTTCTTGTACTCCTACATATCACACCAGCGCTTTGAACATGAACTCAACAGCATTATTTAATCATCATTTGAGGAAATGGTGTTTTTTTTCTTTCTTCTTTTTTTTTTTCTCCAAATTTTATTTATTGTTTTTTTTAAGCAGTACTGAATTAAAACAGGAGATTAATATGGTGGGGTTTTTTTTGTTTTTTTTTTACTTTATGAATTTATGATAAGCCAGCACATTCCTCTAAAACTCACTGATCATCCAGTGA